ACTTGTTTTCAGGAGGCAATATCGACGTCTGGAGAGATAAAAAACCTTGATAAAAAGGTCTAAATACACTGACAGCGATGATGAAATCTCCATGAGAAAACACGAAGTAAACTACGAGCACGATGATAAATCAGTGCAAAAAAAACCTCTAGAATTCTATATATGAAAAATTAACGGATCTTAATAGCAAAAACATAGAGTACTAGAATAAACTAAGACGCGACACATGCGAGGTTTTATTTTCAATATGTTTAGGACTGTTTTGGAAAGTATTCAAAATTAATAAATGAAAATCTTGAGATTTTTCTTTGGTTTGTCGGTATAAAGTCGAGTTGTTTTGCACGAACTAGATCATATACACAATGATTATGTCAATCAGAATTTTACTGCACAACATATCATGCTTCTCGTAAAAGCTCTTTCTTACTTTGAAATAACCAAATTCAATGCAGATAAACTTTGTACTTTGTCTTGTCTTGTTGATGAAACACAATCTCAAACTTACCCCACACAAACGAATCCGTATAGGACTGTTTTCACTCTTATAATCTCCTAACCACCAAACATATCTAAATGAAGATCCAGTATGCAATCATTTTATGTCAAAGGGTAAAATTATTCCACAATTCTTGGACGTTTTCGATTTTGGTGGACGCTAGCGGCTTGTTCTATTGGAGACAGGTTTCAATAGGTGTTGAAATACATTGTTACACTTACGATGACTGGGAGGGCAGCTAGACAAATGACTTCTTTTAGCCCTGTGGGGTGCTAATGTGTTACAAAAAGCTACATTATTTCACTATGGAAACCTCACAGTTTAAGCATTAGTACGTACGTCCCTCATCGCACGATATTTCGCTCTATTACTCTCCTTTAATAGCTTTTAACTCTTTTCTTCTCTAATCTTTTTTTAAAATGGCTATAAAAAATTGTGGCTTTTTCGATTTAAAATTCTATACAAATTTAAATCAGACCCAAGACGCAAAGCATGAGCTGTCAACGACTTTAGCTCTGATTATGGTATCATTGATGTGATGATAAATAACTCACTGGTAAACGAATTTCTCTATTGGTGATAAGAACATTTCAATGCTCTTTCATTTGAAGGTTTTTTGTATAATTCACTGATAAATGTAGCAACCTTAGAAAGATATCTTAAAAGATAGCTTCTCACTTGTGGATAATGGCTCCACACATAAAGATATTTTTTTGGTTACGAGTTAAAGCCTTTAAAGTGTTCCTTTGGAAGCCTTGACAACACGAGCCCTTGATGTCCTCACTCAAGATTAAAGTAAATTTACGCCGGTATAATATCGATTGCTAAGAGAAAAATCCACAAAAACTCTTCAGAATCTTTTCCAATGCTTTTGTCTCTAAGATTCTATCACCGACAAAAGAGTTTAGAAAGCAAACAATTGAGATACAAGACCGTGTTTCTAAATAATTAACAAGCTACAAAAAATTCGACTTCACAAATTTCTAGGTTACACTGAGAAAGCTATTAAATAGTTTATCAAAAGTATCAACTTAAAATTTGTAAAATCATTCATGAAGTTTTGAAATTTTTGTTCTCCATTACTCGATCTAACAACACCACTCGGACATCTCGACAATTTTCCTTAGGCTCCTCGTGTTAACCTCTCACCAAAATGCGCAAAATGCGAAGATAAAAAGCGATTAAAAAATTTCCACCCACGAAATCACTAAGATTCGTTTATCTGAGAGGGTTTTACAAATTGAAATCCTATAAAACAATTACAGTAAACAATATTAAACTATTAACCATTAGCATAAATGAACCACAAACACTGCTATTTTAGAGTGCTAGTGACTTGTTAGCGAACACACTGTATGTATAGTTTTGATTTGCAAGACAAATTTAAGCACTTCAGTTTGCAGCTATACATAAGCTCTCTGGGAAAAATGATAATAATAATAGTTCTACCTCTGTTTTTTGGAGCTGTGGGCGTCGTGAAACTGCTGGTCCATGCCGAGCAGTTTCAGTCATTTGTTTGAAGAAGTTTATCACCAAGTCACGAGTGCCTTTATGAGTCAAAACAGTGTTCTGACCTTTTGTTAAGCTGTCTTTTACGATTCCAACAACAAGGAACAAGCTTGATAAGCATTAGCTTAGCGAGGTCTAAGTTCGAAGGTGTTAATATGCTACGTAAAGCCTACCAGCACCAAACAATGAAAACAAAGTTAATTACAGGAACAGTACTGATTTAATTCATTTCCTTTCGAACTCACTTAAGCGAAAAGCACTACAAAACATAATATTGATACGTCCACAGCGAAATTGTCAGATGATTTAGAATAAATTTCTCCAGAAGTTACATAAGAGGACGGTCATAAAATCTCGTTTTTTTTGGTTGGCATGTTTATCGTGCTTGTATAAGGAACAATGGATTTAGTGAAATATTAAAACCATAAAAATTACACATAAGTGGATTAGCGAACCGCACAATACATTTAAGTACTGAAAACAATATTAAAAATTCCAAAAATTAAATAAAATCTTTGTTGAGTTTAAAGTTTTCACCGACTACGTTCCGAATGTTTGCCGAAAACTAAACGAATATTCCCAATATTTTAACATGTTCAATGGTTGAGCGTGTACGATAAATTTTATAACAACACTGACAAAGGGCTCAAAAAGATTAATATTAATCTAAATGTTGAATTCCCTAGAGTTTTTCACGTCTAATAATTAGTCAATATGATATAAGTTGTAGATTAAAGGATTACCAGCCATTTTTTAAGAAAAAAATAAAGTACACAGTTCGTGGTTTGAAATACTTCGTAAGCGGGTTGACAAGAAACTGTTTTTACCTAATACTGTGTGGTTTTAACAAGAATAACAAGGAGTTTAAGGTGGCATTTTTGTACTCTTTTGTTTGTGATTTTCGTACATTTTGCTTTGTTATTTTTKAATTACCTCCTCTTCATTAACACCTCCTCTTTTCCATGCTACTCTCTTTCTCTTTAATTTTTCTGTCTTTTTTTCTTTCTTTACACGTGCCGTTCTTTTGTTTTACGAGGGTACCAAACCTGTGGCCCTCGTTCCATGATCGAATTGGAATTTAGGAATTGATTTGTGAAGGGAGGAAAACCGGAGAACACGGAGAAAAACCCTCGAAGAACAGCAGAGAACCAACTAAAAACTCTACTCACATGCAACAGCGAATCCGCGGGATTCGGGATTCGAACTCGGGTCGCATTGATGAGAGGCGATCGAGCGCTCTCACCGCTACGCCACCCGTGCTTCCCATTCTTTTGTTTTCTGCTTTTAAATCTTCCATGCTTACCCATTTCCCTGCTTTTTCAACAGTTTTCATGATTCAAGGTTTTTTCTTTTCTTAATTGAAGTAGAAAACATCTTATGAACGTAATGTTGACTAAGAGAAGGTGAAAAAGTTGAGTGAAGATTAATCAAATTTCCAAGCTCTGCAAAATCTGTGCTCAACGAAGCTGTGGAGAGGAGGGCTGGCGCTATTGGAGGGGGGAGGGGTAAGGAGGCTGGGGATTTAATACCCCGTCAACTATACAGCGGCATTGATTGCCTGTATTTTTGATTTTTTCATGCTCACCTACTACTCTGCTACTCCTATCAGTAACTTAGGAGTAGTTGCTAACAATACCGACTTTATGATGCCAATGTAGTTAAAAATACCCGTTTCAATATATTGCTCATTCGTAACAAAAATCTCCGCATTAGCGGCCAATGGAACGAGCATTAATTTCTAATCGACAGACACTATGTAGCTGTAGTGTGCTCGCCTCTAGGGTTTCGGGTTCAATTGTAGATCTTACACAGGTGACTAGAGTTTGTAAAGTCTCTCCCTTGATTCGAGGTTTTTGCTCCTGGGTCTAAATTGGGTTTGATTTCTGGACTCAGTATCACATGTGAGTAGAGTTTGTTAGGTCTCTCGATGGTTTTTCTCCTGGGCCTAAATTGGGTTTGATTCCTGAACTAAGCATTACATGTGACTAGAGTTCGTAAAGTCTCTCCCTTAATTTGAGAGTTTTTTCCCGCTTTTTTAATTTTCCACCGTCCACAAAACTCTCTGAATTTCCAATTCGATATAAAAATTAGCCGTAGCCTGACTTAGATCAACCTAAAATTGTTTCAGAATATCGATAATATTTAAAGGTTTGAAAAATGTTACTGCGCATGTCTAGAAATTTGGCGGGAGATGGTCGGACGCGTATTTAAAAAGTAAGTAAGAATTGTGCAAAAATATGCGAAGTTGACGTAAAGTTCTTGGAAATTTCTCTCCCCCTTATCAACTTTTGAATGACGTAATAAAGGCTCATGTAAAAGTAAAACGAAGATGACTTGGGTTCAAGTTCCGACCAAAATTAAGTTTATACCATTTTTAGTACCGAAAAAAAAAAGCCTTTAAAGTGTTTACAAACATTTTTATCTTCGAAGGGGACCAAAAGCGATTTCGTAATTTTCCAACAAAGCAGGCGTAGTTAACTCTTTTTAATTAGACTAAAAAGAAGACACGCATGAAAACGCGTCTAGCACACGTCCACGACATCGAGTTAATTACTTTTTTAAGCCCCTGTTGTTGGTTTTTGTTCTTGTTGTATCAAAGTATTGTCAGTTTACGTCATTTGTTTTATCGACTAAGACTGATTTAAGACTATTTAATGTAACCCAACAATACCAGTTAGATTGATGGGACGAACTCTTTGTTGGTCACGCAATCTCACTTCTTGGTAACGCGGATAGGGTATTGTGTGACCAGTCCTAAGCGGTCGATATTCGATAAGCTCTTGCATTTTTATAACATATATWGGGCCTGCTAGAGTAACACATCTCCTAAGGTCCTAACGAACTTTCTAGTGAATTTTTTCAGGCATTTTCAGTAGCGTTTAGGCTCCAATCGCATTAAGGTCACTCCGTCTAACTGACCAAAAGTACAAATTCCCAACAACTAAAAGTTATTTACGTACAGTATGGCCACTTCTTAAAATAAACACTTCTTAAAAGCTTTGGGAGTGAAGGATCGCAAACCTCATTCATTCCTAAAACGTCTCTTTGTTATTGCGATGGCAATGTCTTGACAWAGTGACAGTTTAGTTACACGATATCGTGGGAACATTTGCACCTTGCGAAGAGAGTAAGTTATTGCTAACAAGTACTTAAACAGTTTAGCATTATCAAGTATAAACAGTACGCGAGGGCAACAAGGTACTAAATCGATCGAAAAGGATTCGCACTTTGGCTATGATTGATGAATAAATCCTTTTACACGGCTATTAGAAATCATTATCATCAATTATTGGCCCTACTATTTGTCGTGTAGTTAACATTCCCTCTTTTCCGGTAAATCGAAGTTATATTGATACTTGTAGAGAAAAACAACTCCGTTCTCTCATTCAAAGCAGCAGGCGAAAAATTCAGTCTCGTTTTTGTAATTCAACTGAAATACTAATTCGCTCCTTTACTCGCTTGAGTTGTCATAGATATTGTCTCCAAGACTTAATTTTAAACAAATTATATATTTCTACTAAATACCCTCAGATATTTATAAAAAGTACAGAATTATTTTTTACCTCAAACATGGATTCTTCATCACGCTGCCTCCTAAGGGTACTCGAGAGCTCGAAAGAAAGATCTCCCGTAGAACGACCAAGCCTCGGGTTCCTCGATAGACTTGTTTTCTTTTTTTCCGCATCAGGTTCAAGAAGACCCGAAGACGGTTCTTCTTCAATCGTGGGAGATTTGGATATGTCTTCTAGGGATGCTTTGAAGGGAGATAGGAAGATAGGTGGGGAAAGAAGTTTTTCTGACGTAATAGAAGTGGTACTACCCATCTCACTCGACGAGTTTATAGTGTCTAATGACTCCTGACTTGTCAGAAACTCGGTGCTAAATGATTTGTATGCTGTTAAAGGCACTGGTGCAGCATCACTGAAGTTACTCATTTCTTCTCCGAATGAATATCTTTTTACGTCGTCGCTCAAGTCCACGGACGCTAACAGCTCCTCTGTAGGCATTGATAAACTATGTTTCGCTCTCGTTTTCCGACTCGCAAACGATTTCTTCTTCCGCAAGATAACCTCGGCTTCAACAGGTGAAAGTTCCTCTAAACTTTGAATTCTTGGTCGAACAGCTGGTGGGAATTGAGGGTCGTTTGGGTACGTCAATGCACTCTTTGATCGCTCTCTTTCCAGCGTCGACATACGTGGGATAAGGGGGCTGTCTTGAGGATTCGAACCATCTACCCCCATACTATACCGTCTATAATTTCTCAAAAACACACTACCGTTTTCAAAACTTGCAGGCGCAGAAAAATCTTCCGAGTCGAGAGCCTTTAGTTGCGACCCACGGGGCATTGGTAAGGGTCTACTGGTTGTAGAGTCGTGGCCTGAGTCTTTGGAGACCTGACTTGCATCCTCGTAATCTGATTCACAATTGATCGAACAATTCTTAGCTCTCTGTTCCATTTTAGTTGCAGTTTTGGAGCTTGTTGGCGGACGAAATAATCCTTTATAGTCTCGCCGAATTGGCAGTGGTTTCTCTGATAAACAATCCACACTTCTACTTAAACTTTTACACTTTGCTTCACTTATATTCGATTCATTCGTCCAACCTTTCTTGTCCTTGCTTTGATGATGAGATCCTAGACCGAAAAGCTTTCTGTGCTTCTTACCTTTGTTCGGCGGATCGTGATTCTTGGGATTTATAGTCAGAGTGTGTCTTTTAAGTGACCATCCCTTCATCATATGACTCATATTCTTCTTACTAACTTCTTCTGCTCTCGTAAGAGTGTAACCAGAAAAGGCCGCACGATATAAATCCGGTGTTGAGCTCGTAGCTTTCAGTGTACCTCCTTGCTCTAAAAAGTCACCGAAGGACGATGAACGCTCCAACCTACTCCCCTGTTGGTTTCCCATAGTAACCTTCTCCTCTGCTGTCCCCTGACAGTAATTAACCTTCAATGGAAAGTGAATACGTTCGTTCTCTTTGAACAAGTTGTAACAGCTTTGGCTCGCGTTTCCACTTAGAATCACAAGGGTGTTTTCTACTCCATCGTTGTTGACGTAGGTTACTCCAAGTGAAGGAATATTGGCGAAGCTTTGAGCGGACATGCTCATTCGTTTTGAAATGGAGCGAATATTATTAATTGATGCTCTTTGATACCGTAAATGGGAGCTATCAGTTTTGATGAATGACTTAAAGTCCTTCAAGGATGCACGATTATCAGTCAAGTGATAATGGACGAAATCAACCGTTGACGATGACAAAGGAACAACAAGTGACACAGACCTCTTTTTCTCTTTTACCAGACAAGATTCTCTGCGTCTTTCCGAAATTGCAGTYTGAGAATCAAAATCCGAGCCCTCTGTAATATTTGGCGAGCTCTCCAAAGCCAAAAAATCTTGCACTCCACAGAAAGTTCTAGCTTTTTCTCTAAGGTTTCCGCGATCCTGACAGCAAATGGAGTTTCGAGGAAAAATCAAAGACGCTCTGGAGCGTTTCAGGGAATTATGCCTTTTGATATTACGCGTTCCTTCAATTGGGTAGAAATCATCATCATCGAGGGATTCAATCGAAGATGAGCTGCTAAGCGTTGGATCACATTTTCTCTCGAAGTCACATTCAGTGGGAACACTTGTTGAAGACTTGGCTTTCGTAGAATGAAGAGTCTCAGTTTTCGTCAAATTCCCACGGTTTGTTTTCAGTTCGTTCTTGGAAGTACTTGAGCGTTTAAACAAACTTGTAAGTATATTTAAGCTTTTAGGTCTTGAAAGAGACGTTTGGTTGTTTTTCTTTCGCCACCTACGCTTCAAATTAGGTGAACTTTCGGTAGAGCTTAGCTCTTTAATGACATCATAGCTTACATTGTGGTTCTTTTCCTCTTGAGGAAGACGCGTTTGGAGCTCCGAAATGTTGTTGTGAGAATAATACTTTCTCCATTCGTCGTGGTTACGCTCGTTCAAGTCCTGGCTATCAGAGAGTGTTTTTTTATGCATAGAGTGCAATTTGCTTGTTGACTTAGGCTTATCGCTGCCTTGTTTTTTGTTCTTTTTTGACAGCCGTGTGTGTTTTTGTTCAACGCCATTTTCCCGCCAAAACATTACTTTGTTGTCCTTTGCATCACGAGTAGAAACAGATGGAAGCGACGTCCAATTCTTTCTGTCCTTTCCACTTGACTTACGACTTTCTTTTTGTCCATCTTCTACGTCTTGTATCAAGTCTTTGCTTGTTTTTCGCTTTTTTGGTCTCAGAGAAGCACGTAGAGAGTTTTTAAAGCGTTGAAGGCGGTTTTTCCATCTTGGTATGGAAGCGTCATTAGAGTCATTGACTTCACTATCTAAAGGCATGTTAGAGCTTGTTGGCTCATACTTTGATAGTTTCATTACGTCTTCAAGGTTGGCGAACGACTTCACACCAGCCCTAAATTAAATAACAAAAAAAATTATAAGAAACTTTCGAAAAAAAATCGTTTTTTTCTACATGTGTGGGCTCAGTTCTCATCAGGGTTTGATTTTAAGGTCAAGGATAATTTTATTATCAAAAAAAGACCCGCCATTTTGACCTTTCATTGATAAGGTTGTTCGCTATAATGAGACAAAATCGTGGATTGATTCGCGCAATATTTTAACTGGAATCGAGGGAAGGAAAAAAAGAGTCGAAAAAGAAATAAGAAATGAAAGGAAGAGAAAGGTAAGAGAATAGACGAGAAGAATAATGGAAGAGAAGAGAATAGACGAGAAGAGAAGAGGAGAGAAGAGAAGAGAAGAGAAGAGAAATATGATCATTTCATATTCTTTTCATAAATTCGAATAAATTCAACTTCAACTTCACCTTAATTTAATAGAGAAAATGATTAGCAAGGATAGGTTTTCTTGTTATCAGCAAATAATAATAAGTTATTAGCGAGAACTTCTAATTCCTGCTTAAATATGGGTAATCTATGACTCAACGCACATCGTTCAATCAACTACGCAACAGATTACTAGTTTGGCCTGCGGTATTCTATCAACAATACATTCAATTTATTTTCCTTTCCTTTGGGATTAGTCGTTCTAAATTAGAGCAAATGACAAAAATTGTGATAACTTAAAAAGCTAGACTTTGAACTAAATACAC